TGTGCGTCGGAACCGCCACGACGGTCGAGCATAGGGCGTGCGCTGCAGTTCGGGGCTGATTGATTCGGCAGGTGAGTTGTTACACACTTCTTAGCTGATTTCGACTTCCATTACCATAGTTCGACTGTCTGTACCAATCGACACCTTTGCAATGTCCGAGTTAGCATGCAGTTGGCACCAATCGGGGACGAGACGAAGGCATAGAAAAGTGAAAATAATCTGACGCGGATCCGCGCCAGATACCTTCAAAATAGGAAATAGTGAACAACGAGTTGGGTGTAGTCGAGGATGCATAGCTCGCTCGATTCTTAGCAGAATCGAGCAAGGGAAAAGGCGATTTTGGGGTATTTCAGTCGAGCAAATTGAATGACGAGCTTACTCGGCCATTTTCGGCCGTTCTTATTGAATCAAGATATTGTTCGAGGGTTTTGAAGATGGGAATATTGGATGTTGAAGCCGGATCAAATAGTGGGTGATTCGGCGATATGGAGGTTGTGCGTTGCGCCTGGGAGGGAAGGCTTCGGATTGGCAATGTATCTTTCCGCGTTCTAGTGAAAGATTCATTTCGATTTTGCTCATCCCAACGAAGTATGCTCTCTCTAGCTATTTGCGCATGGCTGGCAATCAATGTATATTTCCATGCTCAATCGGAAGATTCATTCCGATTTTTCTCATCCTATTAAAGGAGTAGCTGCTCTTTGATTCTTTGCACGCAAGGCTGGAAGGCGGGTGTCTCCTCCCGTTTCGAGCGGAAGGTTCATTCTAATTTTGCTCATCCTATTGATAAAAGAGGCCTTTCTCTTTCTCTCGCGCGCGCATGTGCACGCGATGGCATTTGCATTTGCCAGCTCCCTAGTCCGTACTCACACCGGGATTTTTTTCAAGGCATCTGTCAGTCGCGGTGCATCTTCCTATCTTCTTGCAGAAGATTCCTTCTCGCTGTGGCAGGCTGCTTAGTTGCTGTGTAGCACACCTAACATGCTCGGAGCTTTTCCGAATGTCCGAACATGTTCGGGTGTTCGGCCGAACGCCACCCGAACGTTTTCGGCCGAACATATTTAAAAAAAAAAAAAAAAAAAAAAAAAAAGGTTTCGATTTTTAACACGAGTTTGGTTACGAATTTGAGCATACCTACCTCCAAGGCAAAAGTTGTTTGTATTATTATTTTACATCACATATATTTTTTTCAGATTTTTTGGAGATTTTTTTTTTTTTATAAATATTTTTATGTTCGCGTTCGAAGAGTTTCGGCGCTTGTTCACGCTCGGTCCCGAACGTTCGGGTTCGGTCACCGTACCAGAACACGATGCTACACAGCTTAGTTGATGCATGCATGAAATTGATGACTTATAGACGTGGGTTCAAATACAACGGGCGACCAGGTGTGTGCGCGAAAGCGCGCGCGCGCGCGCGCGAGAGAGAGAGAGAGAGAGAGAGAGCCTACATGGCAAGTTGGCAACGTGGGATGAACCAAAAGTCGGGCTACGTGTCGAACTGCAGGGCCGCCAGCGAGTGCAAACGCGAGATTCTCCCTAAGCGTCAAACTGTCAACTCTGAATGGATGCGGACAAGGGGAATCCGACTGTTTAATTAAAGCAAAGCTTACGATGGTCCCAATGGATGTTGGCGCCGAGTGATTCCGCCTTACGCTTTAATGTCAAAGTGAAGAGATTCAACGATGCAGGGTCGTTATAATTGTGGCCTTCTCCTCTACAACTTGGAGCTTGCCTGCCTGTATCTGGTCGTGCAGGCCGCCACATACATTTGGACGCTATAGGCTACTGCAGAGGGAAAGGGGAGAGGCGAAGTTACATTGTGGAAGGTTTCAAGGCCCAAGCTGCAGCGAAGGGGGTGATCAGGCTAGCAAAGGGGGTCAGATCGTCAGGGTACAATCACTTGGCATTTTGACTGCAATCTTGCCTTCATCATAGTGTTTTAGCCACCATTGCAGGGCCATCTGAAGTGGAAGGTTTCAAGGCCCTCTCACACGAGTCTGAGTGCACCTTTCAGGGATCCGAGTGACTTAAAGTGCTCACGGGCATTGATTTTGGGATGAACAAGCGTGGGCCGGCAGGCCCGATTCAGCCAAGTGGAAACGAAGCGTTTTCCACTTTTGGCTGCCGTTAATGCGGAGCACTTTCAGGAGGTACTGGTGGTTTAACTTCTCTCCTTTTGTCCTTCTTATTCTCAGTCTAGTCTATTTGGTTCAAAGAGGAAGGCAGCAGGCATGATAGAAACCCGTAATCCGTACCAAGGCCTCTGTGGGAGGTTTTTTCTTCGATTGCGGGAGCTCTGCCGAGACCTGGGCGAGGTTTTGGAGGCAGGGAACTGTCAGGTATACCTTCTTTCGGCTGTGTGAACCCACTATAACCTTATGGTTACATCATTCTAGTTTGACTAAGAGAAATGCATGTGCTCCCTGATGATTTTCATAACTTGATAAGATTAGTTTGAAGGAACGCATGCGTAAAATTCAGTTTCTTTTTATTCCGACTGAAAGCAGACAAAGGGATGAACTGGTAAAGGTGAGAGTTAGGTGGTTTTGCATGCCTTTGACCGGGTCTCAAAGGCTGGGCATTGTTTCTAAGATGAATGGCCCAATGCTATGTTTATTGGCTGTTTTTTGAAGCACTTAACATTGTTTCTAAGTTGAATAGCCTTGTCACTGTGTTTAGTTTTAGAGGGCTTGCCTGGCTGATTTTCAAGATCAAGCATTGTTTCTAAGCTGAATGGCTTGGTCTATCTGTTCCTTTTGGGGTTTCTGACTCAAGTTGGGCTTGCCTGGCAGGGCGGGCGGTCTGGATCGTCGCGTGATCTTAAAGTTGCAATTAACCCAGATCGTGAGAACAATTATCAACAATGCAAGTCCAGATAAATGTCAACAGATAATGAGTACCAATAATCAAGACCGTGTCCAGACAGAATGAGACGAGATAAACATACACAGACGAAGAAGATAGGAGGGAGATTAGACAAAGGAGACAGAAAATGCAATGCCCACTTCTGCTTCGGGCTCCCTCCTCCAGCACCACTTCAATAATCAACAGTCTGAACGAGTATCTGAAGTAACCTCAAGGTGCCACAGAGGCACATCTAATTAGTTCCACATCAACTCTGGAGCAATGTCGACATGAAGACAATCAGGTACGTAGTCACGATCCCTCCACAGTCCTGATCTTCCTCTTCATAGCAACCAGTCACCTCATTTAGACAGCGTGGACAATGCCACATCAGCAACCAAGACAGGTGGCATATGCCACATCATCAATGAAGACCAAATACAGCATCGCGTAGACCTTGGGCAGCGCCACATATACAAAAGGCAGCGCCACCTCAGCATGCCACGTAGACCATGGGCAGCGCCACATATACCAGAGGCAGCGCCACATCAGCATGCCACGTAGACCATGGGCAGCACCACATATACCAGAGGCAGCGCCACGTCAGCATGCCATGTAGACCATGGGCAGCGCCACATATACAAGAGGCAGCTCCACATCAGCATGCCACATAGACCATGGGCAGCGCCACATATACCAGAGGCAGCGCCACATCAGCATGCCACGTAGACCATGGGCAGCGCCACATATACCAGAGGCAGTGCCACATCAGCAGGTCACGTCAGCAAGCCTGTCGTACAATGCCAGCCCGCTGCCTCCCTCATGCCGTCGTCCGCAGCTCCGATGCACAGCCAGCGTCCAGCCAGCGTCACGCTAGCACAATGCCAGCTTCAAGTCAAAGTCAAGCCAGCGTTGAACCAGCATAGCAAGACTGAATGTTGACCACCTTGAGGCCAGACTTTAAGTAGTGTTTGGCAAGGCTTTCTGGCCTCGAGTCTCCTCCCTTCAGTCGTCCAGATTGAGTCATAGCCGAAGGCCCGGATTGTACAGTTGCAGCATTCCCCCTTGGACTTGATGATGTCTGGTACCTGCATACAAACAAGTGTGTGTGCTTGACCAACGGCCTGGACTCAGTACCTGTGGACTTTGACTGTTGGGTTTGCGACAGTTGACAAAAGTCAACTGTGGCACGCCCAGGCCCTGAATCCCTGTGTGGGGTCCCTTACCTCGTTTTTGGCCTGGCTGAGGGCGGCCAGGTCGGCCCTCAGATTTCCACGAGACATATGGCATGGGTTATTGCAAAGTCTTAAGATTGCGCGGAAAGCCGGTTGGACCGCGGACGGCCCGGATTGCCCAATTCTCACGTTAACGATTTCTATAAGTGTGGGAAAGAGCACAGCTTAAGTACAGTACAATACAGAACAGCAAAACTTGAATCAAGAGAGAACCGTTCTCCTACAGCACTACAGTGTACAACCGCAGGCCATACACACGACAGCAGCAACAGTCAAATGGGCAGAATGCTAGGTGTTCACGAGAACAGCAGCAAAGTGCCGAGCTTTGAACTTCTGTTCAGCTCTTGCACCTTTTCCCCAAGGCAGTGCATTTCACCTTGAAAAAAACACTGTCAGACATGCTCAACATAAGTCCTCTCCTAATGTATTTAAGATCAACGATGCAGCTCAAACACAGTACAGAGCAGCAAATTTTGAATCAGCAGAGACTGGTTGTCCTACAGCAGAACATTGAACAGCTGCTGACCATACACAGTACAACAGCAATAATTGACTGGGCAGCAGGTTAACTGTTTCCGAGAAGATAAGAAGTCATTGCCCACACTTGAGAACGCAGCAAGAAATTGCTATCATGAGGCAGACCGATAAGTAGACTAAACACCCTCCAAAACCAGATCAGCGCAGTCCAATAACTGCTATATTCCTGATATGAAAGCACGAATTGGCCTCTATCACAGCCAGGTCCACACTTTTTGAGCATCAACATAGCACCAGAATGTTATGCCCCACAAGTGCAAAGCCAGAACTACAAGCACTTTGTAGATTCGAAAAGAAAGAACAGGTGCATTTTCAACAACTGCACTATATGGGTGCACTCTGTAACATCAGCTTTGGGTTCTCCGGATGTGCAATCATTTCAGCTCACCTCCATTCTAAGCCTCTCCAAGTCCATCTTTCGGATTTTCTCATTCCATTCTGCATCTATACTCTGCACTTTTCCCTTCCATTCAGTTTCCAAAGCTTGTCGGGCCTCTGCGGCTTCGTGCAGAGCCTGCAAATAAAGAAAAGGTGCATAGAATAATCACAGCAGATGAGTTAAACCACCAGTACACCCGACCCTAAAATGTACGAGCCTAAATTTTGAATTTTGCAGAGAGCCTGAAAGCCATGGGCAGCAGCTCTTGGAAAATTGGGGTGGTACTGGTACCGGCCTCTGTGCTGGACCTGCTGTCAGGCGATGGAATAAAAAGGGGCCGCTGTTTTCACTCCTTGACACCCAGCCAAACACCCACAGGAGAGAGCACCCACATGTAGCACATATCGGGTGCCAGATGCAGGCGCCTCGTCATGAATGGCTGCCTGTTCGCAAAGCTTTCCCAAATAAATAAATAAACCAGTGCTCTTTTGTTTGCAAGATCTTAGGGCACCTCGTTTGTCCTCTGACAGCTGTGCTGCCACATAGTCCAAACTCGATTCATAGTTTACACTTCCTGAGCCAGTTTTTTTTTCAGTTTTCCTTTCTTTTCGATGCCAACGAGGCAGGAGCACTTTACTTTTCTGCGCCCGTACGCAGACACAGAATGGGCGCGGATACATAACCTGTGAATCACTGCATACTTGCCTACAGCGGGCGTTTCTGCCCTTACTTTTCTGCGCCCGTACGCAGACACAGAATGGGCGCGGATACATGCATACTTGCCTACAGCGGGCGTTTCTGCCCTTTTTCCTGAAGTTTGAGGGCTTTCTGCCCCCGTATAGTGCATGCCCACCATGTGGCGGGCGTTTGGCCACTCTGTTCCTTTTGTTTCAGTTTTTTTTTTTTTTTTGCTATAGCTCGGCCTCGTCGGTGCATGTGTTTTCACAGTCACAGACTGAACGTGTACCAGCGGGCAAAACGACAGTCCATTTGCCTTTTCTGCTGGGCCCACCTCTTTCTCCCCCGATGCACTACCGGGCCTTCCCTGAGCCTCCAATTTCTCTTGTGGCAACAAGTTTACTTTTCTGCAAGGCTGGGGACATGTACTGGTGGTTTAAGACGAACAACAATATATTTCACTCCACATTTTACAAGATGCAGGTGCAATTGGTTGGAATTCCGAGATGTCACCACAACAGAACAACTTCCGCTAACTGCAAAGGATAACTTAAGGGAAAAACTGGGACAAGAACTCAGATGCTGAGATCTGCTGAAAGTTTTAGCTGTAAAGAGAATGTCCAAAGAACAATCACAGCAGATGAGTTAAGACCAACAATATATTTCACTCCACATTTTACAAGATGCAGGTGAATTTGGTTGGAATTCCACAATGTCACCACAACAGAACAACTTCCGCTAACTGCAAAGGATAACTTAAAAAAAAAACTGGGACAAGAACAACAACTCAGTGAGTTTGAGAGATTTTGACACGGTTTCACCTTCACTCCACATTTTACAAGATGCAGGTGAAGTTGGTTGGAATTCCATGATGTCACCACAACAGAACAACTTCCGCTAACTGCAAAGGATAACTTAAGGGAAAAACTGGGACAAGAACAACAACTCAGTGAGTTTGAGAGATTTTGAAACGGTTTCACCCACTTTACCCGACAGACACAAACATCAGGACTCGATCCCTGGCCCTACCCCATAAACCTGTACATTGACCCTGTAACCATGTGTGAGATTTGAACCCACGACCTGGCCATGGGTTAGTTAGTCTGGGTGTTAGTCAGCCGTAGGTCTTGAACCATAGATCCTTGTGTTAGTAGTTTAGTGTGTTACCGTTAGGCTAAGTTAGGGCCCATCTGGAAGTCTCAAGCTGGCTCTTTGGTAGTGTACCGGTCAGTCCGTAGTTAGTCCTAGCTGTTCCGTAGTTAGTCCTAGCTGTTAGTGAACGGTCAGCCTGTAGATTCTAGAAAGCCATAGGCCTAGTCTACCGCGTCTGAGTCAGAAAGTAGACCGGGCCACCTCGTCCAGTGAGCAAGTACCAGCGACCAACGATATATTTCACTCCACATTTTACAAGATGCAGGTGCAGTTGGTTGGAATTCCGAGATGTCATTACAGCAGAACAACTTCCGCTAACTGCAAAGTATAAGTGAAAAACTGGGACAAGAACAACAACTTAGTGATCCTGAGAGATTTTGAAACGGTTTCACCCAGTTTTACCTGACAGACGCAGACATCGAGGCTCGATCCCTGGCCCTACCCCGTAACCCTGTACATTGACCCTGTAACCCTGTGTGAGATTTGAACCCACGACCTGTCCCTAAATCCCATGAGTTAGTTAGTCTGGGTGTTAGTCAGCCGTAGGTCTTGAACCATAGACCCTCGTGTTAGTAGTTTTGTGTGTTACCGTTAGGCTTAGTTAGGGCCCTTCTGGAAGTCTCTACCTGGCTCTTCGGTAGTGTAAGCATCAGTCCATAGTTAGCCCTAGCTGTTAGTGAATGGTCAGTCTGTAGATTCAAGAAAGCCGCAGGCCTCCTCTACCTCTACCACGGCCTCTACCTCCTTGTCGCCATCCCCCTCAGGCTGCAACGGCCGCATAATGCCCCTCGTGAACTATTTGACCGTTGTTGTCCCCGTCTGGTCCGTAATCTATCCAATCATACGGCATGGACTTTACTCCTTCAAAAGTAAGAAGGTGATTGTCTTTCCCGGCTATGTTGCCAGAGATAGTACGGTTCTGCCATTTCTTGCCTACTTGCAGATCCTTCCAATAATGACAGAGGTTGGCTTCTTGTAGGAAGCCTGCGTGATCTACAGCAATCTTGCTAAATTTTTCATAGGTCATTCCATCTTCTCGAGTTCCAGAATAATGTTGGGAGCGAAGCGGTTCTGGCAGGGCCCTAGCGAAGTTGTTGAGAATCTGCATTGGCGTCAATCTGTGGTCCGGACGCTGAAGCAACTCATCCATGGTTGCTTTGAGTGCTGACGCACTCTTCCATTTGCGATCTGCAATGTTCAAGATGAGTGATTCAGTCCTACGGGCCAGGTCCTTATCTTCGAACCTGTCTCTGAGGGCTTTGAAAAAGTCCTCAACGTGCATTTGCTGTGAATACTCTACCATGGACTGACATTGGGCTTCTTTTCCCAATGAAATTGCGAAACTCATCGCGTCTCCAGCTAAGCATGAACTTGCCATCAAGACCCTATCCCAATAAGGAATTCTCTGCGCATACAGGTAAGTAACCATTGCTGCTTGCCAATGGAAAATACTTTCCTCCTTCTGACCTGTGTATGTCCACGGGATTTCCACTTTAATTTTCTTCTTTTCCTCCGCTTCATTCTTCTCTGCACCCTTCTTCTTCTTGTCTCCATCATCTCCTCCATCTCCCAAATTTCCTCCGCCGCCACCTGTTATCTTCTTGACTACGGTGAGGTCTGTCAAACTCTTACTTGCAATCAGACTCGCTTTCATTCACATTATACATGCATGTAAACAGTACCGCAGCAAACTGGCGACATGCGCCCACTCAAAACTTAGAGATATGACAATCCAAGTACGAGTTCACTTTCAATTGGCTATGGCGACTCAGCGACCAAACAACTCACTGTTCACATACACCGGATCACCCTGGATATTCCACACGCTGTCAGCGCGAATACCCTTACAAGGGTATCCGCCCTGGTTGTTGCAAGTGACAGAAAATAGGTTTTGTTTGAAATTCGAGTACACTGCGTGACTCGCGGTTGTATTTTGTTCACACTGTCTAAATGATTGACTAGGAGTAGAGAGTGGGTGAGTGCGTGATGATTTTTATTCTTGATGTTATAGAGTCGGCGTTTCCACCGGCAAAATCTTTTGGCTTTAATTAAAGTTATGAAAAGTTTTCTTTTATTGAAGTGACCATGGTACATCTGCGTTCATCCGGCATGCGTCATCGAAAGTGGTGTTGCCTCGGGCAGTAGAACGCAAGCGGTGACCTCCGCGTGGGAGATGTGAGAGGTTGACAGTCGTGGATGGGGCCAGGCCCTATGAGCAGCGGGCGTCATAGGTCGGCAGTCGTGAGTTTGGTCCGTAGGCGAAAAAGTGGCCTCGAGGAATTTTGGTAGGCCCGCATGCCGTGCGGCAACAATTTATATTAAATTTTGCAGTGGATTATCTCAGCCTTGGGTACTAGCACTATTGGTAACGGCATTGGACTCTCAGGGCGGAAGTACAAGGATCGAGGGCAACAACCGGCGACAGCGGAGCTTTGGAGCGGTTGAAGATGCCGAAGGGTTGAGGGCCCGACGGGGCTATCCCTTTTGGTTTTGTTGCCGGCCCATCCGTAGGCCCGGTCGGCGGAACTGAGAGTGGTACTGGCGGTCTCCCTTTCCCAAGAGCACCATCGTATTTTTTATTTTTTTATTTTTATTTTTTATATAGTTGCCTGTCCCGTTTTATTTGGGACGCGGCACCAGCTTCGGTACCAAGGTTGTTTGCGGGGTACCAGCTAGCGTGGGCTGAAGGGGCCAGTGATTGCAATCTCCGCAAAGTGGCCGTCAGGGCAGTCGAGGACCCTGACCACGCGCCCCTTTTGGCGGGCCAGTTTGGGTTCCTGCATGTTCGGGATGCTGGCGAAATTCTTCTATCTACGCCCGTCTAAGACATGGGCCGAGGAGTTCAACGTGTGTGTAAGCCGGTGGGTGATTACCCCACGACGCGGAAGAAACCTGGGTAGCCTGGCGTCGTGGGCCCTCCGCAGTTGCACCATCGCCAACCACGATCTGCTGTGGGAACTGAGTATGGGCACGTTGATGGGGCCAGTGCCGGTACCGGTGCTGGTTTTGGAACCATTGCTGTGGAAACTGAGTACACCCACGATCTGGAGTGAGAGGTTGGGGACTGAGCATGCCTGTAGGGTGTGACAAGGTGCGGGACCGGTCACACAGACTTGTCAAAGATCCTAAGGCTACCATTATGTGTGCCCAATTGTCAACAGCATGCGTAGCCGTGGGGCAAGGGGATATGCCGTCACATCTGGGGGTGACCGCAGATACCCTACGTTCATTTATTTATTTTGGCATTATGCTTGAGCAGGCAAGAACTTTTGCACAGTTCAAGTACCATTTTGTTGTTGCTGCAG